TTTTTTTTTGCGATTTTTGTGAGCGTTATATCTTATCATGGATATATCCATTTGGTTTGAAGTTTTAATGTGAATGCATATCAGGTCCGGATACTTGCTACAAAAAAATGAGCTCAAATTGATGAACCATTGATGAGTTGATCAACACTACCGAATGGACGGAAAAATTGTCATTTTTCGATATCTTATGCATGAATATATCTCATGAGAGGAGTGTGTTAGTATCCAAGAGGGACAAACTGGCTTATGACTTCTGCGACGCCAATATTGAAATATATTCACAATTCCGAAATTTACTATAGACAAGATGCGACTAATTCATCATTACTGGGCTATTTTTTTTAGCTGTAACAACAGGATCAAATTGTGGAGTGATTTTTTCAAACTGATAAATGAAAACATCCTAAATAAACAACAGGACTCTTTTCCGCCTTACTGATTATCATTTTAAGTTATATATTTTTGAAAATGAATATTTATTGAAGAGTCGTCAGACTTGAGCTCAATAAGTAAAAACATGGCTTCTGATCAGCTGACAGTTCTATTGACGATAGTGCTGACTACAAGGACATGAAAGCCATGAAAACCTAATATTTTCTTAGTAATCGATCCTATTATGGAATCGATAGGTTCCATTCTGTACTGCTAATATTGATTCATCTTCGCTCCTTCACTTTTTCAATTTAATTAACAACAAACATCTAAAACACAGGACTTGAATCGCTCAGATGTTACTTTCTCTCTACTCCATCTGGTTTGATTGTTGGTATGTCTTGAAGTTAAGAGTTCATGCACAAGTAGTTGCCAACTGTATTCAATTTCGATCTATTTTCTAGATTGATTTTTGCTTTTTTACTACAAGTATCTCTTCTAAAAATTAACATAGTATTACTAGAATAAACAAGTAAACGATCTACTGTGACGCATGGATATGAATTTATCTAATCTCTATATCCTTCTGGCCAAAATAAACGACATATCTGGTCTTTCCAATTATTTCTCTCAACCATTATCGTTTAACCTTATATTTATATCATAGATATATCTATGATTACTTAAGTCACTCGGGAAGTTTCAGCCATATAGAATGAGAATTCGTTGTGAAAAATACAAATATGTCTCGTGTATTCTTGTAACTGTGACATCAAGAATTACTGTTTGGCTACTGAATATTGTTTTCTTCTCTTATCCACAACATCAATTTTTGATGCATGAATCCTCTTCTACAAATTTTTTTCTGAGCCTTTTTTGGATAATTCTGTCCAAAGAAGCTTACAATGGTGAGGATGAGACTAAAAAACTTAATTTAAGTATAAAAAAAAGTGATACTTTTGAAGAGGGAAGAAGACAAAATTCAACAGGCAAATAGGGTAAGGATGAGTGAAGGTCTTCACTGCATCCACTCGTCATCCTTCACAGTCATATCAATTCATATATGCTCTTTACATATTTCTATTAAAGAACTCAATTTGGAGACTCAGTTTCGATATTCAATAAACCAAAAAGAACTGTACAGAGTTCTGATGAAAAACAAAAATCATTCAGAAACCGACGTAAGATAATTGTTGTATTTTATATTGGTTCGTTCTTTTTCTGATATGTCTGTCTTATCGTGCAAGGAACCAGATTTGTTATGCAACTAAACGTCACTGATCACGAACAGCCGCGAGCGATTCAATAGAGATATTGAATGATGAAAATATCGACAATAGAGTCTTTTTGATAAATGGATCGTTTGTTCGAGGTATCTGAAACGAGAAGATTAATTTGTTTGAATGGATTGATGAAGAAGATTTCGATGTGATTTTGCTCAATCTATGATCAACATTCTCTGAGGACTCTGATTACACCAAATTGTTTATCATTTTTAATAGTCGAAATCTCAATTTCAATCTAAATCGAATCTGGATTCGTCATTGTCTCTGATGGCGTAGGTGAGAGTGAAGACACTCACCTTTGTATTCTAAAGAAAAAACTTGATCAAATGAGTCATTATTGATATCAGGAACAAGTTTGTTATTTTTCGTTCTTTCAGAACATTGCATCACGATTCTTGTGCAAGTCATCTCATCTGACTATAAAGTCAGTTTTGTTTTCATCATTTGTGAATAGATAATAATCGACGAAAAGATCTTTTAACTTCATCATGAGCCAATATGGTTCTACGTCAATATCGTCATCAACACAAAAAACTAAATCGAATCCAGCATTATTTATTGATTATCAAATAGAATCTCCTCGTTTTCCTGTTCATAATGCGCAACAAATACAAGAAGGTATCGAACATTTAAATGACAATGGTTATGCAATATTTTCTCATGTCCTTTCATCTGATGAGATCCCCTCGAATATCGATTTACTATGGAAACATTTGGAAAATTTGTCAGCACCATATCAAATAAAACGAGATGATGCACGAACATGGGACATTGCATGGCCCGGTGTAGCTTACATTGGATTAATGCCAGATGAAGGTTTCGGTCAGTCACAGTTTGCATGGTCGATACGAGGAAATCCAAATGTGAAAAAGATTTTTGCTCAACTTTGGCAAACGAATGAGTTGCTTGTTTCATTCGATGCTGTTGGTTGTTTTCGTGATTGGCATTGGAATTCAGCATGGAAGACAATAAGTGGATGGTATCATTGTGATCAGGTTAGTTCTTTCTTCTTTTATCTAATTTTATTTTATTTTATTTTTTAATAGAATCCAATTGAAAAGCCTCATCGATGTTCGATTCAAGGTTTCGTATCTTTAACAGATAATAATGAATTCACTGGTGGTCTTGTTGTCGTACCTCAATCACATAAACATTTTGAGCAACTTCAATCCATCACTCGAATCGGCAAGGAACGAGCCAATTTCTGTCGTGTACGTAGAAATCATCCTTTGCTCAAACAATTCAAACCACGTCTAGTCAAATGCAAAGCTGGTGATCTAGTCGTCTTTGATTCTCGATGCATTCACTGCAATACACCAGCTCTCGATACTGAAGAGGTGACAATCTTCAATGAAGACAAAATTCCTCAACTGTTACGCATTGTCGCTTATGTATGTATGAGTCCAACAGCAATGGTTTCTGCTGATGAACTCGAAGAATTTCGCAAGACTAGAGAAGAGTTTGTCAGAGATAGAATAACATGTACACATTGGCCTTGTGAACTCAATATTTCCGGTAAGTAAGCCTTCAACAAATAAAAAAGTATTCATTGACTTTGTCTAGATGGATCACCATCTGGTGTCAAACAGCCACTCAGACTTTCGATGTATCAACGATCTCTCATTGTTGGCACCAATGTCGATCCAGATAGTGAAATAGCACAAGAAGTTATCGATGTTTAATTTCGAATTTCACCGTCTCACTACGTACTTATACACCAAAATATTGACAGTAATTTGATAATTCTCGTCGTTGTGGTGTGCATAAAAAATTTGAAGTAAAATTGAAGAAATATGCAAAGAGATCCTTAATCAAAAATAATACCATTTTTTTAAGAAGCACGTGAGGGTGTGGATGTGGATGTGTGTGTTTGTGGTGTCAGCGGAACTGAAGGATAAAGTGAATATTATTCTGAAAAACTCATGAGGGATGGGATCGATTGTTTTCGAATAGATTCTCCAAAATGATATGTGATAATCACTATGGAGAACTATATTTATTTTCAAAATCAAATTTCATAAGTTCGGGATGTGGGTGTGGGTATGGTGTGCCGATATATACGTCATGGCTCGCTGCTCTTCCTCTTTCCTCTTTCTCTCTCTATTGTTCTCTCTGTGTCGTCTCTCTCCCTTTGTTTCTGTATCATATCTAAGCGTGTGTTGAATGTGCAATAGAGACATTCTGAAGATGTGAGGTAGCTAATAAACATCATTATCGAGGGTGGCGGTAAGCTACCCCCTCCAGTCTGTCATACCATCTCTCTTTTTATTTATCGTTACATATGGGTGTGTGGTTTGGATGTGGGTGCGGGTATGAATGTGGGTATGAGTGTGTAGTTTGGATGTGGGTGTGAGTGTGTGCGGGTGTGTGTGGGTGTGTGGGTGTGAATGTTCGTATTTATTGTGTACTCACACCCACACCCACACACCCGCATCGTAGCTGATTGAAATGTGATCAAAGCGAGTAGAAATCTATTTGTGACCTTAGGATAGTTGGACCATTTTTCCAATGAATAGCACGTTTTGCTCTGTGTAATATAAATGTAGCAATTACGATTATATACACTTCCATAGAGCAGAACAATAGCTGTTAATCATTTCTTCTCATCACAATCTGTTTGCTTTTAAACCTTAATGAAATAAATTCTATCGGGCTTGTGAATAATTGATTATTGGTTCAATATGAATATGTTAAGGTTAAAGCTCTATCTTATTTGTGTATGAGAGAAGATTTCAAAATGTCGAATAGAGATAAAATTCAGTTTTTTTATAGAGCGATTAAGTGGTGTAATCAGTTTTATAAGGATTAATACTATCTTAAGTCCATGATAAGGTTTTACTTCGTAGTGAAGATCGAGAAGACAGAAAAAAAAGTGAAGATTTAGATATCGGAATATATATTTCAACTTTTGACATTAGTCACATCAAAAAGAACTGAATGAACTACCAAAAAAAATAGAAAATGCCTGTCAAATATTTACGTTTTACATCCAACGACCGGTTAGATTTGATTTTTAACAATTATCAAGTTATGCCATGAAGACTAAAGCAAATATTCTGATATTATAAATCATTATTAGGAAATTGAAAATTAAACTTTGATTGGAAACTAATTTTTGTTGCTGGAAAAAATAAACTTTTTATTACGAAAGTAAAAAAAACAAATGCAATCGTATCCGCTTCTCTGACATACGATATCCGATTGAATTGAATTTTGATTGAACATATGTCGTTTAGTTAGCATGTGTTGATAGATAGTTCTTTTGACATCAAGTATAGTTATTTATTTTTTTCCATCAGAAATGTTTTTAGAAAGTAAATGTCTTTTGACAGCATCATAATGTTGTTTAAATTTAGCCAAAGATGAATGATCTTGAGCCAGTTCAAGTGCTTGTGAAAGATGTTGGAGAGCCGTTTCATAATCTCCTTTGCTATAATAAAGTAATCCAATATTATCACAGACTGTTGCTTTATTTATTCGATCGCTTCTTTCATCATTGAGCGCTTTAGCAAAATATAGCAAAGCACTTTCTGGATCACCATTCTTTTGATATAAACAAGCCATATTGTTTAAAATATGAATTCGTGGTGGAACAGTACTCGAAGAATACAAAGATTGAGGAATCAATGGTTCTGTATCGAACACTCTTGCAGAGATCAGATTTTCTGCTTTCTGAAAATACATTAATGCCATAGAATCTCTGCCTTGTTCAAAATTGATCATTGCAATATTATAATATAGAGTGACTCGTGTTTCATCTTTTATTGTTGATTCATCTAACATTTTATAATAAAACTTTTCTGCTTTGACGTGTTGTCCCAACTCACGCAAAACATCACCCAACATAAGAAAAGTTGAATCATCCGCAAATTGTTCAAAATATTGAATTATTCTTAAATTAACATCACTGCATGACGATAGTGTAACGATCCAGTATAAATCGTTGTTCTTTTGCACAGAGTTAATTCTCCATATAGATCCAATGGTGAATAACACTTCTTCTTCTTCTGGATATTGGCTAATTACAGAAATATCAGCATGTGTTCGGCTGATTGTCTCGTCAATACAAAATTCAAATAGTACACTCTCACAATCATCCCGATTCTGTCCAACACCTGCAAATACCTCTAGAGCAGTTTCTCGACAAAGTGTAGTCGATAGAAATCCATTCATGGATATTAAAGCTCCAATATTATCTTGCAATTGTTGTAAAATAGTTTGACACAGTTTTTTACCGCGATACAATCGAAGTATTTTCTGTAGACTCTCTTGTTCTTTAATTAGTTTATCAAGTTCCGAATGAAGATCAATAATGTAACGACGAAATATAAAGATACGCTCAAAATCTTCTGATCGAAATGCTCGACCAACCAATCGAAATAAAAAAGAATCTGTAGTGTAATGCCAAACGGCATCATTAGCTTTATAATTATTTTCAACAGCATCAATTTTTTGTACTTCTGCTGTATCATCAATGTAATATAGACGACATTCTGCAATCATTTCTGCAAGAGATTGTTTGTGATCACATTTCATTCGTGTAAGGATTCTAGTCAATGTTTGAAACAGAAAAAACTCCGGCGATTCTTTCTTCCAATATCGAAACGAATTTTCCATTATTTTTGAGTTCCATACACTCCATGGTGGTGGATCAACTGATTCGCGACACCTGCTCGATGATGATTTCATAGTGGAAGGGGACTGTTGATTATTCAAATAAAGTTCTATATCTTCAGATATTTGTGTAAATAACTTATTCATCTCATCAACAATAACAGGGTCAGTAGCGACAGATGAAGGTGATTGAAATAAATAAACCTTCTCATATTGTAGACGATTTTTAGCTACACTACACAAATATTGAGCGTTTTTGCCAGTAATAATAAAAAATATTTTTTTCACAAGAAGAGGACGAGTAAGATATGCAATGAATTCAAATAAATCATTGAAAATACGAACATAAGTAAATAATCTACTCAAATGATTCCTCATTTTATATTGGACATCTTTACTAACATCATCATCATGATACCATATACAGAAGAGATTTTGATCTGAGCCAGATCTAGATGAATTATCACTCGATCTAAAACGCAGACAAAAACTATTTTCTATCAATGACATTAAAGAAATAGTCAAATTAATTCTTACGGCATTATATTATTGTCTATAGACGATTGGTTGCTGAATTGGTTTGCAATTTTACTAATATTGCTGTTACACTGGAACATCTTTCTTTAATATCTAAAAAATGAAAATAAGTGTTAAATACTCAAGTTACAATCATCTGAAAAAAATTATTTTAAAATTGAAGTTTTATTATATAGAAGCAAGAATATTTTTAATCTTTTGTTCAAAATGAATACGCGATAAAGGATCAGTCGCTAATTCAAGTGCCTTTCGATAACATTTCAGAGCTTCTTCAACTTTCAATTGTCGAAGATACACCTCAGCCATTTTATCATACAATATGCAATAATCAACAGCTGTTATATCTTCGATTATTTGAGATAAATTTCTCAAACAAACACCTTGTGAATTCTGATCTGTATTTGGAGGCATCTTATCTAGTAAATTCATGGCGGTTTCGAAATATGTTGCTGCTTTTTTATCATCACCTGATCCTGCAAACATTAATCCCATATTGTTATAAATTGATGGAAGTGCCTGATGATTTTTGGGCAGTGCACTTATTAGATAATCATAGTACGATTTAGCTTCATTGAAGTGATTCAGAGCGCACAGATAGTTGCCGAGTGTTAACCAAGTGAGTTGTTCACCAATTTGCAGCTGTAATCGTGCTTGAATTGATTGAAAATCCGAATCATCATATTTTAATTGAGCATACCAGACACCATCAGGTGCTAAATCGACAGATCGAACTGAAAAAATACTGCCAAATGAAAACATTAACCGATTATTGTTTAGTTCTAGTACACGCGTCTGTGCAGGAATATCAATTTGAAATATGATAACCATCAATCCACGATCAGCAGCTTGTCGTGCAATTGTTCTCGCCGTCAATAAATCTTTTGTAGCCAACAGATATGTATGAAAAGCAACCAGTTCTTTAACATTTTCAGTTATTATTTTTAAGTCTTCGTCGCATAAAAATTGAACTCGATAGACAACAGCAGATGAAGTCGTCGGAGACAATTCAGCAAAACATTGATCAATAGTCTTCAGCAGTTGTTGGATATCAAGAAGATTTTGAGGAAATTGTTCTCGTAAGAAACTATTTATGATAACAGACAAGAACGGAACATTTATGAACCAATCGAAAATTTTATTTGTCTGAACTTTTAGAATTTCTAGAGCATTTTCACTGTCTGATTCATTTTCTACCAAAGTGAAACAACGATCGCACAGTTTTTGGTCGCGGAAAATAGAAGCAGGCGCTTCTTGTAAAATATTTACAAATAACTGAAACGCAGCAAACTTTGTTTGTTTATCTGTAAGACATAATTCACCATTATCTTCTATTTTATTTTGTGAAGCAAATATCGATACTACAGGCATATAAAGTAGTTGTTCCAAGTAAAATTTGATGTCGGCAGTTAAACACGTGAGTAGAAATTGGAGATTATCGAATAATCTGCCAATGTCTTTATAACTACATAGAGTCCTGTCCAGTTTTTCTTGATCAATAGACGGTACAAATAAATAGATTGCATAAATTTGTCTTAATACCGTAATTTTTCTCAGATCATGCATGATACTCTTGATTTCGCCAGAAATAATCAAAAATACAGATCTAATATCAGTTGTTTCAAGATATTCTACACATTTGACGACATCGAGAAATTCCGAAAGGTGGAAACGTTGACTGTCTGTATGAAACAATGCATAATTGCCGCAATGCAAAACAACAATACGAATTTGTTTGTTTGAGATTGAATATTTTTGCACATTTGATAAATCTAACGAAACAGACGACCAATTCGATGGTTTAAGTAAAGTTTGAGTATAACATCTATCAATTAATTCTTCGTTTGACCAGAGTGATGATCGCGAAAGGATCGATTCGATATCTTTATATACTTGAGAAACAAGTATACTATAATCAATCCAACAATCTTTAATTTTTGGAAAATGAGTCGTCCATGAAGGATCTGATTGATTATCATCTGGACAATATATATATATTTGTTCGACACATCGATGTTGATAAATTAATGGAACAATATATTTACCAACTGAACTTGATACAATGAAATAAACATATCTATCAGTTATAGATAGCAGATCAGTGATACAAACACATTCATCATCAAATAATTTCACTAAGTACGATGAATCTGATGACATTAATGAAGAATCGACATCAAGACATGCAATTAAGATATTGGAGATATCACTTGACATAGGTTTCAAAACCACTGATATATTATTCACAGTATCTGTAAACAAAAATGAGAACAAATACACATATAATAAATAATTTACTTTGTTCACAAGATGCGAAGTAATGCTTGTACGGTTGTAGAGACAGACCAACAAGATCGCTATTGAAAACGGGAGCTGATCCAACATCAACTTTTTCACTTGATAAACGACGCTGAAATATACAAATCAGACTAAATTAGGGAGAACCAAAAAGAAGAAGATTCATATTATTGTAGGCGCTAGAATTAAATAGGTAAGGGAGCGTATAATGCGAATAACTCTAGAATGCGAGCAACTACTAAAGGATGTTTCTTAAGTTCCGACCCCCTTTTTATTTTTTTTTCGATCTTCATCATATTCAATCGTGGAGAGATATTGAATATATTTTTTGAAGAATGGCATCTAAGCTATCAATCAAAACAAATTGTATTCGATTTGCATGCACTCTAAGAGAGAACTGCATCGATACAGATTTTGAAAAAAAAATTTTGTCAAAGTCATTTTTTTACTTTTCCTCCATATAGAATTACTCCCTCGGAATTTTGTGAATATCTCTCGTATTTTTTGATAATTTGACTTGAAATTTTTTTTCAAAAAGATAGCCTATGCAATTCTCTACAGAGCACAATAGAAACAGCTCTTCAAAAAAAAATAACTGAAAAGCCACATTTGATCAGCAGTACTAAACTCCAAAAAGATCCACTGTCACAAACACATTTTTTAAATAAAACTAATTATTTCTCTTCTTCTGACGAAAGAGGTTTCAGGTGATTGTAATTTATCGTTTTGAAGAGCTATTTTTTATTGGGTTTTGTAGAGAATTACACAGACTATCTTTTGAAAAAAAAAATTTCAAGTCAAACTATCAAAAAAAAAGCCTACTAGCGCAGCCCCTTTGAGGTTGAAATGTGGAACTCACATATGTTCTCTAGCCCCATTAAACTAATACAAAATATGTAAAGTGAAAAATCTATTGTAAACTATAGTTATTTTGCACGATAATCGAACATCAAAGCAAGAATCTTTCTAATGTCTGCATTTCGAACAGAATTTTTTTATTTTTTCTAGGGGCACCCTATTTTGTGGAACTCATATATATTTTTGAAGAAAATAGTGAGTGTAAGTTTTAAGTTCAAGTTTTCGCGGCTCCTCCTCTCTCCATTACAGACACCCCCATTACAGACCTTATAGCAATTAAGAATAACAGGCGTGAGACGTTCTAGTTTTTTTCAAAAAATTGAACAAGTTATAATTTTGAAAGATAATCAACATCATTGTTTGTGAGCTGATTAATATATATAATAGTACGTAAGATCTCTTGTACATATCATGGATATGTAAAACAGATTTATTTGTCAATTAATTCAATGATTATAATAACAAGAATGTTGAATTACGAAAGACGAATTTAAAAAAATGTAAGAGAATGAGCGAATAGCAACAATGCAAAATAAAAATAGGGCCCCCGTAGAAAAAAAATTTCTGTTCGAAATGCAGAAATTAGAAAGGTTCTTACTCTGTTTTTCGATTATCCTACAAAACAACTATAGTCTACGAGAGGTTTCTCATTTTACATATTTTGTATTAGTTTAATGAGGCTAGAGAGCATATATGAGTTCCACATTTCAGCTTTAAAGGGGCTGCGCTAACAAGTTTTTTTGTTTGCATTGCTGCTATTCGCTCGCTATTTTTCATTTTCTTTTAATTCGTTTTTCTTAATTTAACATTCATATTATTATAATCATTGAATGAATTGGCAAATACGTCTGTTTTACATATTAATTATATCTACAGAAGATCTTATGGACTATTATATATATTAATCAACTCACAAACAATGATGTTGATCATCTTTCGAAATTATAACTTGATCAATTTTTCAAAAAACCTCTAGAGAATCTGACGCCTATTATTCTCGATTGCTAAGGTCTATAATTGGGGCTTCGGTTGCTAAGTGTCTGTAATGGAGGGGAGAGAAGAGCCGCGAAAACTTGAACTAAAAACTTACACTCACTATCTTCTTCGAATATATATGTGAGTTCCACAATAAGAGAGATATTCACAAAATTCCGAGAGAGTAATTCTACATAGAGAACAAGTAAAAAATGACTTTGACAAAATTTTTTTCAAAATCTTTATCGATAGGGTGTGGGTGTAACTGTGACTGTGTGGATGCGGATCTTCTCTTCATTAACCCACACACCCACACCTACACCCACATCTACACCCCACACCCACTTTTCAAACTTTGGTGAAGACCGCGAAAAAACTAACATGTATTTACTGTTATTACTCGTGATGCGAATTTGAAAAACTTATGGAAATGAGATCAAGCGTTGTTAGAAAGTTCAACTTTGTCTTTCTTTGTGACAAAATTGATGAAACAGCTGTAAATGTCGCTAATTGAGCTATTTAAATATTGAAGATAGAAAAAGTTTGCTTGGCTAAAAAATTTTGATCAATATGGTATTAGAAAAACCCCTTTGAGTTTTGGATACAAAACGCGAATCTAAAACAATTTTCATGATATATATTACTATGGAATGGTATTTTGTCTTTCGTGTTTGCAAAATCTACGTAGAATGTAACTTGACATCGATCTATCAGCTTCGACCGTTATCTTGACAGTTTTAGCTACTGATTTGATGATAAAGAATCTAAATGAGACGTTTGCAAAAATCTCAACTGTATATGTCAATACGTTGTATACAGACAAAGCCATTTTTCACTTACAGTTTTCTTCCAGCTGGTGACTTCGTTATCCAGATTGTGCCTATCAGAAGTATCCGAGCTACTTGAGTTGTGTCTTAATAATGCCGTAGAATCATGAATGGTTGATCTCTGTTCCCTGTGAGAGTGATAAAAATAAAATTGAGTATTATATTATAATTGACATCATTCCATTATAAAAAGTAAATTCAATACTGCGCAGGACTTGATAATCCTTAAAACTTTGCCTGCAGTTAGGAGAAGACCGTTATTTAGACTAAAATTATATTTCGAAGATTTACGGTGTTAAAGAACGCAAAAAACAGAGCTGGGCAAGTACGGACTTTTTCGAGTATGAGTACGACTAAAATCGTACTCGAGTACGAATATTTCGAGTATTTTGACCAACTCTGCGCAAAATGCAAAACCTAACTCTTCTCAGCAAATGCTTTTCTATTTAAAAACTAAGAAAGTTATGAAATTCATATCGAAATAATTTTTGCAGTATTTTTCGAATTATTCACTAAGTTTAAATAGCGGTCTTGTGTCATACTATGCCAATACTATTGTGAAAAAAACGCACCACCGTTTTCAAAGGCTATTTTTTTATTCTTACTGATTACTTTAATATAAAAATGGAATTAATTACAGTAACTGTAAAACCACAGTGAAAGAGATTGAATAAATATTGTAATGGTGATTCAGTATCCGATACAAACTTTTAGATAAATTGCTCAAATCACAATTGATCAGAAGTACTGAAACTAGATGTTTTTTTAGATTGAAAAAGGTTTCGTCTATAGTAACAAAATCAAACACTTTTTTTGATGATTTTATATCGCGATAATTTAGCTAAACTTTTACATTTGTGTTGTGAATTTTAATGTTTGTTGTAGCGAAGACGATTGGTATGTGTATTCTTTTCCTTGATTTTCATTGAGCATTCTATCGATAATAAGCAAGAGTTCAGCAAAACTAGCATCTTTAGCGTTAGGTGGTGCTCGATTGTCGATTGGTATATATCTATTTTTACATCTCTTCATTAAATTAATAAATGTTTGACTACAACGTTGTTTGAGATATCGATCAATTTCGATTCCAGCTCTTTGAAGTTTCTCCAGATTAGTAAATACAAAGACAATATATTGGTGAATTGTAGGTCCAAATATGCTGATAAGAAATTCGCACAGTTTCTTATCGTCTTCTTCTGAAAATGACAATTCAGGGGTAAATTCAAGCACAAATAAGAAAGCATGTGGCCCGGGCGCTGCTTGCTCTAGTGAGTGTGTAATTTTCGTTCGTATAATAGAGTTTGAACCATATTCATTAGCAAAAGCAGGTGTATCAACGATCATTAGTTTTCTTCCATAAAAGTCTCGAAAGCCTACGATATGACTACTTTCATTTGTATATGTTACTGAAGATGAACCTTGGTTAATCATAAAATAATTATCTTGTGCAAGTAATGCATCCCCAAATGAACTTTTTACTAAAAAGTATTGATAAGCAGAATTAATACACGAATCGTTTCATACCTTCATTTGAACGTCCGAGTAAAATCATACGTCGAGTGACTACTTGTATTGGCACTTCTGTAGAACATAGCTGCGGTGATATCCTCTCAGTTTTGAACTTAATGGCACCTATATCAGCAGGTGCTTCATTTTGAGAATTTTGCTGAAAATAGTTTTATAAACTTAAAAGATAACATCGATTATATTGGACTCTTACTGTTTTAAATTGATGCGTTGGACGCAACATTGGATCTGAGAGGTGTCTATAAGCAAAAGTCGAAAGTATTTGAATATGTTTACGTGGAAAAAATTACTTTTGTATTCGTTTAATGTCATTTTCTGTCTTTTGTAGTTCATTAAAAGTTTTATTCAATGCTTTATGAATGATATTAGCTTCTTTGTAGAATTTCAAGGCACTTTGATACTCCTTTAATTGTTCATATGCTAAGCCTATCGATCGATAGGTAATACCTGTGCAACGATGATTCTGAGGCAATGTATTCAATCGAATGATTAGTGCTTGTACGCAATAATCAAGTGCTAAAGTAGGATTATGGATTATAGTTCCGGAAGTTAGATGACATAGACCCATATTTTGAAAGATCGATGCTCGATCTGGATGATCATCTGGAATTCCTTGTTGTTTATTTATGTCCAGGGCTTGTTGGAATTCATCAAGAGCTTCGATGCACTTTGCTTTTTCATATAAAATAGATCCCATAATAATGTGACAGGCAGCCTCTTTTATTCGATCTT